AGATTTAAAATACTGTCGGCAATGGCAGTTCTGTTTGTTTTCTTCTCGAAAATCATTCTCGTTTATGGCAGGAATGGTAGACGTTTTGAAAGATACAACACAAAAAAATCACACAAAATTCTAAAATTATAGTGAAATGAATAAGTATCAAGAAAGCAATAGAAGGAACAAACTTAATATCTTTTTGAAAATCTTTTTCCATCAGTTTATCAGCTTCATCGAGAACGAATAGACGAATATGATTCGTCGATATCAAATCTTGATTCACCAATTGACAAATACGTCCAGTTGTGCAAACAATTATTTGAACTCCTTTGCGAATTTCCTTCACATCTTCTGCTACACTTCGATTACCACCAACGAATACACTGAAGTCGATTTATTTGACCCATTTTCAGAACCATCCGCCCCTAAGCCCAGTGTCTACGTGCGGTTAGCGGATGTGCCCAGCTTCAGATTTAGACTAATGTACAGACTTAGGCTTGTGTTGCGGCTAAGATATGATGTCAGCTCTTTGCTGGTCTCTCCATCACAACAATCATGATGTTTTTTGGGCATCCGTCAGGCATGGTACGCCTCTCATTGTTTTGTTTTTTGAAAAGAAATTGCATCGAGCTTAAGAAGGCACCTGCTTTTAAACAAGTACCAAATATAGTTATCTCAGAAACGGGATAAAACATACCCAATATGAATTACAGGTGGAGCAAGACGTCTGATCGTGGATGAAATTTGCATGACGATTTCACGAGTTGGCGCTAATATCATCACTTGGGGCTTCTTCAATTGGGCATTCAGGTTCTCTAAAGCCATCAATGCAAACACCAACGTTTTACCTGTACCCGATTTGGCTTGTACCAATATATCTGCAATCATCTGTCAAATGTTCATGATTTTCTTTTGTTTAATTTTAAAAATTTCGTGTTTCTGCAATGAGTTGACTCCTATATTGTCACCATCATTAATGTTACTAGCACATGAGGAATTCTTGAAAAAAGAGAACGACATGACATGATGACAACATACCAAAACCCATCAAGCCGATCGGTATTGCAGCTTCTTGAACTGGCGATGGAGAAAAGAAGCCGGCCTTGGTTAACGCATCAAC